CTCGTCACCACTTCCCAGCCTGAGAACAAGCAAGACGCCAAGCTCTGATCACAACTCTGCTGGGTCTGAACGTCTCTTTTTGGGAAGGATCCACCTGAAACCAAAGCCAAACCTGCAGCAGGTTGTGCAGAGAGCTGTACGCTCGGGACTGGACTGAACCCTCCCGCCAAGAGCACATTCCAACAAGTCACTGTTTTTATTTTTTTGGACAGCTTTCCTCCTGCCTGGGGCTCTGCTGGTTGTACTCCCTGGAAAGGTGCCCTCAAGTATCGCCACAGGAGCTTGCGATGGTGGAGTCTGGATTCGATCAGCGCTTCAGGATCAAAAGACAAAATCGATGGCTGCTAATGGAATATTTCGCTTCAGTCCCTATCGCAGCCACTGCATAGCACCTTGATCCGACTTCCACTCTGGGGCCTTATATGACTACCCTGATTCTACAGGCTATTTAGGTGAGGAAATTAAATCGGCACCTACATCCAGGCTGCATATGCACCTGGCTGGCACAATCAAACAATGGCATAGTGAAAACCACACAAGAGCAAAGACTGGTGCACATGGAGACAATGCACGACAGCAGGAGGCACTGGAGAGCCTCCTGCAGCCACAGCACCTTGCTTCACCAATCCGAGGCGGCGATCCTTGGAGTGTACCGTCACTGCCCACGTTTGCCTGCTGTACTGAGCAGAGGTTCGCTCGCTCCTGCGCGTAGTTTTCACCACGTGTTCATCTGATTAGACCAGCTTCAACCCCCCAGACAGAAGCCCGGACTGGGGGGAAACGAAACCGGAGTCCAGCTTGGTAGCGTCCGTGTGGAGTGTACGACCACAGGCCGGGTGAAATCTGAAAGAGCCTGTAGTCCAGCCCTCCCCACCACCCTCAAGCACACAATACCTCCAGATCACCATCGCGCAGAAGGTCAAACTCTGCACTGCTGGCTTCTCCCACGTCCCTTTTAATGGCAAACAGGGCAAGTGCATGTTTAAATAATCTTAAAAAAAAAGGCATGATATTATATATATACACACAAGGTGAGTACTTTGTGCAAATGTATACATACGTGTTTATAAATGATACATGTTGGTAAATGTGCACAAAAACAGCAAACACACGCACTGAAATGCAAAACTGAAACCTCGGACTCGGAACCACGCTCTTTGGTGTACTGCACGTCGCTGCAGATCTAATCAAATCACAGAGACACCAATGGCAGCCTGCACACACCAGAAGATTCACCCCGTCCCAATTTCTGTTCCTCCCCATGGAGGCAAAAACAAAAAGACAAGAGGACATATTTTGTGGAAACACCAGGCTCCCCAGGCGGCGGCGGCGGCGGCTCCGGACGAGAGCAACACGACTTTTTCGAGCCGCCACGCGACAAGCTCCGCCGATGTCTGCTGCGTGGGTTTTCATCGGATCTAGTGAAGAAGAGTGCGAGCATTCAGCCCTTCACTAAACCTATAACATACAATCGGTTACAGACTGGTAGTAGTAAGTCAAAGATAATATGGATTTGTTATTAATAAATCTATGTACACATATAGCTTAACATTTCACAGACACTTCTCTAAACTCTTTAAGATTCTGTTCGACCACACAGCTAAGGTGCAGTATTTACAGATGCAAGTCTTGAGGAAACCCATCTTCTTTAAGTCAAGTCACATGACAAGGGCAAAGGACAGGAGTGCCTTTACAGCATCACTGCTGGCAGCACCCATCTAGGACAGCCAGGTCAGCCCTGAAGCGTGCACATGGCCGACAGGGGCTTGGCATCCTGGCCTGGCTTTACCCCGGTCATGTGGCTCTCTTTGCTTTTATGGCAGCCCCGAGCTCTAGTACTGTCCAGTCTCAGTGCCCTTTCTTGGGATTCATCGAGCAATGCCCACGTGGACACACACACTCCCACATACAGGCACAGACGCACACATACACACGCTCCCCAGTAGCCAGACAAACAGGAGGATGGAGTAGCAGCCAGATTCGATAAATTAGGCTAAGACTTCAGTGAGAATATCTTCCTTCCATCCTCGCTTGGTAACCGAAAATGTGGCTTTGAGTTTTCACTTAAAGAAGGGCGCACCTTAAAGAACTGGGTAAGGACACTGAATTACTAGTTTCGGCATGATCTCTTTGGATTGGCCCATACGGAACAGGAACTCTGTGTATATTTGGTAAAACAAAAAGTACCACGCCATCCAACTCAAAAAGCCCACAAAAAGGCAAGTGCAATTTTTCCTTTTTTGTCAAAAGTCGTCCCTTTTTACATCTTTCGTTCTCCTTTTTACATCCGATTCTTTTTTTCCCCAAAAAAACTCTTTAACAGAGCAATTTTACTGACTCAAAAGTTGCGCTCAAAAAGATTTCTGTGCTATGCAGAAAAATTCCCTTTTTTAAAGCCGTGTTACTTTCAGAATCCCAGGCTTCCTTATTGACCCTCTGCGGGGCTGTGCCTTTTGAGGAAACGCTTTAGGTAGAGATGGAAAAGATGGTGGCACCTTCAATATCTACCCGCAATAAGGCACACAAAAACGGCACCTTCATGGGATTGATCAGAGGCACCAAGCTAGCGATAATCTGAGAAACACTAAAGGTGCTAAAATCCACGTCGAAAAGCCGGCATTCATGTTTCAATCACACCAGACGTATCAAACAATATTGTGTGCACTGCAGAATTATTGCATGATAATTCACCTAAAGATGATACAATCAGACTGGCCCGAGAAGTTGTTTTGAGACAATGTAATACTTGAAACCCTAATTCTGCACTGTCGCAGCAGTCCCTTGAAGCCTGGTTAGCGGCAATTATGATTTGATGAGTTTTTTTGGGGGCTCAAATTCTCAAAAGAAAAGTTTTCAAACAACCTGTGCTTTGTTACCAGCTTTCTCCTCGGATCAGTCAAGCAATCCAGCACGCCCATTGTTCCTACAACTTCCTGATGTATCGCCATGGAAGACATCTCTGACTTGGAACCCAAAACGCGTTTACTGTTGCTTTTGAGCGGCAGGCCGACTCGAGTGTGCGCTCTCGATTCATGAAAGATTTCGTTTCCACTTTGGAAACGAAGGAAGAAAATGGGGGGTTGCGGGGGGGGGAGAGGGGAGGAGCAGATTTCTCAGCAATGTTAATTGTCACAAAGGAGGAACAAGTCTATCGAAGGCAGTGCGTCTGTTTTTTTTAAGTTGGAAATCGATCAGAAACTTGCCTCATTTCTCTGCGCTGCGGAACCAGTCACCTACTGGCTACCCCACGGCTGAATCTCACAGGGCAGCCCCAGGGACTGCTCTCTGCTCATCTCATCCCCGTGTCCAGCACAAGGGTCTCCTGCCCCTCTTGTGTCAGGCTCCAGACTCGCGCTTTGCAGCACAAAACACCGCAAGGCCAGGCGGCACAGCTCCTCACTACGACAGCACGGCTGCCAAACTGGACTTAGAGCAGGAAAATTGCACCAAAAAGGCAACACAAGGCTACGTTCTTCATTACTAAGGGAATTTCCTAGATGCCACAATTGACTTAAAAGACCGTAGGGTCCTTTCTCCAGCTTCTCTTTCTTTACAGCTGTGATGTGTGCTGAGGGTTGCGTGCCACTCTATTCACAAGGAAAACCCCACCTCTGGATGATCTACACAAACCTCTTAGGATATCCCCCCGAACAATAAATGAGCCTTTTTTATTGCGTTAGGACATCAGTCTAAAAACGAGACCCCCCCTCCCCCCTCACCCCAGTTAATATCAGTTCTGTACAATACAAAAAATAAGCTATTAAAATAGAGAATTGTCCTAAAACTCAAAAATGCTGACTACATTTT